AAATCAATATGAAATCTTGAAAAGTACTGCCAATTCCTATGCACCACTACCAGTTCAGACGAACCAGTATCAAAATAGAATCACTACCAGATTAAAAATTAAAGAATATCATAAGAAAAAAAAAACTTCCATTGCTTTTTTTTTTACAAAAGATAATCATATATTGATTCAACAAAGAGATAGTTACATCCTGGAATTAAGCCAGGTCTGAAAATCAAAAGCGCGACTCATAGCCGGGTACAAAGAAAGGGCATTTCTAGCCACTGCATGGGCTACCCTATTGTTCTCCCGACCTACAAATCGAATACTAAACCCCGCATGGGCACTAAAATACTGAACTATTTCCGCAAGAACAGCACCCATCCTGTTGTCCCGAGTGTCTGCCAGATTGATTTTATCAATAATGACCTTGGCATCCCCTTCAAAAATGAAGTTCGAGAACCCCAACTCCAGACACCAGACAATAGCTTCCCTGAGCACAAGTAGTTCCACTACCATGGGGTCATCAATTGCTTGGAACTAACTCCTTTAGCCAGGAGGATTTCCCTAGCCAGATTTGCAAGAATCAGCCCTCCTGCTGAATACTTTCCCCTTCTCGTGGCCCCATCCCACATACAGACAACCCAGCCAGCCCCCACCGGACCCAGATGTCGCGGTGTAGATGGAATAGCCTGGGAATCCCGACTACTAGACAAGCCAACCCATTCCTCATATTGCTGATTAAATTGTCGCATCAAAGCTGGTATCCCGAATTGCTTGCCCTCAAAGACAACCCAATTCCGAGAACGCCAGATCCGCCAGAGGACCGCCACCACCGCCATTAACACAGACGGGTGACTTATCAGCGCCAGGACTCGTTTAAGAAATAAAGGGAAAGTATGCCGAGGCAATCCCTCCCCCAAATATTCCAGCCCCGAATAGTCCCAGATGGCCCTCGCCAAAGGACAATAGAGAAACATATGCTCCAGTGTCTCAGAGGCCTCCCAGCAGACCGGGCATCGAGGATGCACCGGGACCTTTCTCTCTATGAGGGCTTTAGTCGTTGGAAGAGCGCGATTGAGGATTTGCCAAACAAACACTTTCAACTTTGGGGGAATATCAGCATTCCACAATCGAATCCAACTAGCCTTATCCATCCAACTCGCCAAAGCTTTCCACCCACCCCTCCTCCTATCCAGCGAAACAGCTAAATGGTATGCCGATTTGACAGAGAAAACCCCATCCACTGTGTCATGCCAGATCAGCCTATCCTCCATGGCCATACGCGGCAGGGGGATTGCAAGGATGGTCCGGCATGTCATCGGGTCAAACCATTGACGCAATTTCACTTCACACCACCGCCCCTCTCCTTGAACCATAACCTCTGCCACCAGTGGGTCCCCTCCATTCGGAAGGACTCGCGGATTATACCTAGGAGGATCAAATTGCAGCTGAGGTATCCAATTAGAGTGGAGAAGAGAAGCGGAGCGCCCATTCCCAATTTGCCAGCGTAAGCCCCTTTCTAACAGCTGGCGCCCATGCAAAATGCTATGCCAACCCCACGAAGGACGGGAGCGAGCCTTAGCATGAAGGAAGGTCCCTCTCGGGAAGTACTTCCCCTTGTAGACCTTAGCCAGGAGGGACTCCGGGTCAGTCAGGATTCGCCACCCAATTTTGGCAAGAAGTGCCTAATTAAAGTGTTCAAAGCGACGAAACCCCATCCCACCCTCATGTTTGCTTCTACACATATTGCGCCAGGAAACCCAACGCACCTTCGAGTGGCCCTCAGTACCCCCCCCCCCCCCACCAGAACCGAGCTACATGTTTGTCCAAAAGACGACAGAGGGACAGAGGCAGCTTAAAACTTCCATTGCTATGGGAGCCGAACCGAAAAAAACATCATCAGTGAATAGACATCATGTCTTCCCTACAAATAAGCGAACGATTCTCCTACCCACACCATATCCATATATAATAAGTATAGAAGAAGTAAAATCATAAGTCACTAAAACTAGGGAAAATAAGTAAAAAAAGAAGACCATTTTAAGAAAAATTAAATATATATAAATATAAAGTAAGATTACTATTGCATAAAATGTTACATTTTGATACCCCAAATTTAATTAGATCACAATTTAGTCACTATAATGTACATTTTTACATTTTGGCCCAAATTTAATTTTAATGTAAAATCATTCATCAATTATGTTCTGGTATCTAAATTTTATGAGATTTTCTTACCTAGATTTCACTTGAATCCATGAATGCAATCCACCAATCCTTTTGAACCAATACATGAATCCAATCGACGTATAAATTTAGTTTGGCTCATTACGTGAAACATTAAATAAATGATAAAAGAGAGATGACTCTAAAATATTGCAAGAGCAAATTTATAAACTAATTTAGTACTTTACGGGTACTAAACAAACTTCTACTAACTATATACAACAAAATATGCGACATCTACATAAGCAAGTGTCAATAAATTGCTACGGTGAAAAAGTCTTGACTTTTGTATTGATGGCCAACTAAAAATAGGGTCAAAAATTTTCCATCATCTACTTCCTCTTCGTTTCAATTTTCACTCGCCTTCCATAGCCCTTTCTTTATTTTTTTTCTCTGCCTTCTTCGTCTAACCCTAATTAGTATACTATTTTTATGTACTCTAATCACAAGTATGAACGGGTCGATACACAACTCACCAACATTTCCACTATGATATTTAAAGTCGTGAAATTTTAAGCGAGCTGCTTCTCTCTAGAGTTTTTCTTTTTCACTCGGGTTAGAATTTTCAACAATTATACATGGAATGTTTGCTAGGTATCTACACATATCGAATATACAACTTATCATCTTAAATACATCACCATAAAAGGAATTAAGCCTCAACTATGCAAATTACAGATTTGCACCTAAACTTAATAGATCTTTACATTTATAACCTAAATTTATTCTTGGCATATAAGTCCTCAAAATATTGATGGAACATTACATTTTAGTATCTAAATTTTTTGTGCATTACATTTTGGTACCTAAACTTTTGAAGTTCTAAAAATAGGTCTAATTTTTGTATGTATAATTAAAACACCCTAGGATAAATGGGTATCCCGTATTAATACCCAACTCATACACATTTAGATTATGAAAGTAAATATTCATACCCTACCCAAACACATCTGCAAACGTCCAAACTCATATATACATAACGCATTCCCTACCGATGTGCGTAAGGTCGTATTCATCGAGGTATTGTAATGCATAACTATATCTTAGATAATTATCATTTACTAGTCAAAATTTAAAAAAAAAAAATTGGATGTTGACCGCCATATATCTCTTCTCAGTCAATATTACTAACAAAACTGCTAACAAAAAATTAATTTTAGGCTAATAATACTAACAAAATATCATAACGGGTCACATAATACATGCCTATATGCCATCTCCACTTCGCGACATGTCGCGGCATCGCCACCTAGTGATATATATAATATATATAGAACATGCTGAAAAAATAATGATGATTTCCATTTTCCTTTCTTTTCTTGAAATGCTTTTTCCGCTTCTCTCTCTTTAAGTCGTTAGTGTCTCATGTCTACCAGTTTCTACTCACAAGCGAGTCTCCTTTCGTCAGCAATTCTTCGCCATCTTTGTCTGTGTACCTAAACGATGCTCGGTGTAGCTGGTGCTCTGATGCATGATCAGGTTATAAATTCCTAGATGTGCGTAGTGTCGTATTCATTGAGGTATTGTAATGCATAACTACTCACATCAACCATCAACGCATACAGGAAACCACAAATTCATTTAGAGGTTTTCATGGACAAACAAACAAAGCAAGAATAGTAAAATTATCTAGGGGTTTTCAATTTATAAACGCATAAAATTAAAGATATGTTATTGTACTAAACCATGAACTCGAATAAGATCATGCAAACTAGAGCTCATTTATATCATGCATTAACTGTTCACCCCAGTGGCGGACCCAGAAATTTTTTATAGGGGTGTCCTCTTTTAAAAAATAAATTTAATAAAAATAATTAATTAATAAAAATAAAATTGTAAATATGAAAATACATTACTCGTACAGGTTAAAAAAGTCCATGATGTGTTTTCATATTCGGAACTAATTGTAGAATACACTTGGTGTCTATAGTGTTTAAAAAAATTGTCTCTATATACACTACTAGACAATCATTCACAAACTTATCGCATATTCTATTCGTAAACTTGTTCTTGATGTAACCCAAAGCTGAAAGACTCTTTCAACACTTGTCGTACAATCATAAAATTAGTTTAATTGTTAGGTTCTTAAAATAATTAGAGATAGGGAATACCATTTTACTATTACACATTGTTCAAAATCGAACAACAAATGAGTTTAGCTCAACGGAAATTGAGCTTATTAATAATAATAGTGTTCTAGATTTAAATTATCCAACCTACCACTTATATTCCTATACACAAATGACAGTAGGATAATCATTTTTTCAAATTTAAGGGGTGTCCCTCACTATTAATTATATTTTTTTTATCCATACGTAAATTACCATCGAAGGTTGGATAATCGTTTTCCCAAAATTTAGAGGTGTCCGGGGACACCCCTAAACCTCCCTGGGTCCGCCCCTGCTTACATCCCGGTGGCTACAGTCTTCTTATTATTCAATTAGCCACAAGCCGAAACTTAGGCTTTATAGCTAACGCACACGCAAACCCTAACCACGTAGGCTGCATGGCAAATATCCGGTTTAGTCCATAAAATTCTTCTATTTACAAAAGGACCCGACACATGTACATATTTCAACAAATTCAAATATTAATCTTATATTTTCCTCCCAATCATAATTCATAAACAAAGAAACGAATCAAAGAATCCATAGATGGCCATACCATCATATTCATATATCCTCAGACCTCTCACACACAAAAAGAAACATCCCCTTTGCCCCAAAAACCAAAGATACAAACATTGTCTCCATAGTGTAAAAAACAAGAAGTCAAAATATATATATATTTGATTAAGAACTATAAGTACTCTTCCTCTCCATCCTGACCCGGGACCGCTCTTTGAGCCCATGGAGCTGCATTTGCCACACCGCCCTCCACGACGACGAGCACTCGCTCCGCCGCGGCCGCCCACTCGAGTTCGTGGTGCTGAGCTGGTAGTCGTAAACCAGACGGGAATCCGGGTCGGACAGCGTCTCGTAAGCCTCCCGGATCTCCAAGAACCGGCGGGTCGACTCTTCTTTCCCGGATGCGGGCCGGACGTCCGGGTGGTGCTGCCGGGCCAGATTTCTGTAGGCCTTCTTTATCTCCTCGGGCCCAACATTTTCTGATGACAGTGAGAGCACTTGGTACAAATTGTTGCGAGTGGTGGCTCGGCAGGAGACGATGGAGTTGTGCCGGTTTGGAAGGAATATTGGTGCTTTGTGGGCTTGTTTGATTGAACCAGTTTTCAGGAAATGGAGGGAACTGGATTGGAGAGAAAGCTCCATTGTGGTTTTGGACTCGAGAGAGAGAGAGAGAGGAAGGAAGTAGGTCTATGTTTTTGGAAATTGTAGAGCAAATGAAAGTGTATTGATGAGAAGCGAGGTCTGTTGTATATCTCTTTATTATTATTATATAAAAGGGGAAAAGGTCGATAGGTTTAGGCACGAAATGGGCTTGTATTTTCTTTTAATGTGATTTTGTACTTCACTTCGAATGGCCTCAGAAAGAAGGCAAACTGTTCATCCATCCTCTTGTTTTACCGATTAGAAAAGACAAACAAAACATGCAAATATTTAACTCGGTGTGTTGATGTGACTTGAATCAGACTATCAGTCGCTACGACTGGTAGTCGGTGTATGGGCTCAATGTTATTTGGGTTCGGGTTCTGGGCCTGGTCTGTAACCGTTTCCTTTGCCAGATTGGATTAGGTTTAGGCCCACATGGAGAAGGAGCACTTCTACTATACTATATAGCATTGGTGCTTTAATGTACAACTTGAAGTTGTACCATAACATTAAATGTATAAGTTTAGGTTGTACCATAAAGGAATTTGTAGCATTATGTTATGGTACAACTTTACAACTTGAAGTTGTTCCATCACATAAGGTACAAGTTTAAGTTGTACCATAAAAGAATTTGTACAAAAAGTATAGGTACAATCTGAAGTTGTACCATAACATTAAAGGTACAATTTCAAGTTGTATCATAAAGGCAAAAACCTATAGCACCAATACTATATAGCATTGTAAAATTCCTCCATGGAGAAGTACTATAAATAGTTCTCATACTCCTCTGTAATCTGTAATCTCCTCGATATAGTGAAATTGGCTCTCTCTCGCCCGTGGACGTAGCTAACACACATCGTGTTAGTGAACCACGTAAATCGTGTGTCTGTGTTTTTCGATTCTCGCTTTCGTATTCTTGGTTTATCGATTCCGACGATTTCCCGATCCGTAGCAACGCGTTTATAACAGGGTAGTTAGGTAGCCTGACGCGGTTTAGACTTTTTCTTCCGGTGCTTTCAAGATCAAAAAGATTTGGGGAGAATTTGAAGCTGGAGAACAACTACAGCAAGAGTACTGGTCGAATCAAAATGCCGTACCCATCCTCGATCTTGTCTCCACATTGCTCCTCTCCTCTGCCTTCGATTGGCTTAACTATCACGCATGTATCTACACGATGTTTCCCATTCATAATGCCACCAACATTAATTTAGGAGGAATCAAATTTTTCTTTTTTGGATGAACGGGAGGAATCAATTAAATCTTTGACATTTGGGAATTAGGATTTAATGTAACCAGGACAATTACCCACTCAAGGTTAATTGTAAATCGGTCATTTTGAGTAGGATATGAGTGAATTATGTATGGGTTAATACTATTTTTCCTATCATGATCCCAAATTCCCAATACTATTTTTTTTTTTATTCGGTGTGGTCCAAATTTTGGCACCTGAACTAGTAAGGTTTTCCTATCATCCCAATACTTTTTTTTTCCCCTAACATAGTCATTCAAATATAAATATCTTCCGGTTGTGGCCCTTGCTGTTAAAAGACTATTATTCTTCTGTTAAACGGGGATCCAAGTGCTCACTTGACATGCTCATAATTAAGTGCTAACTCAGTATAAAAATCATTTAATTACAAAGTTGTTTTAATTTTTTTTTAGTTTTGACAAAAGATAGGCTGGTTCGTTGATTTTTTATTGGATATGGTAGGATGAAACTCATGGAAGGAATTGGTTGGGAGGGGGTTAAAAATATGGAGGATTATTTTTGTAATTATGAGGATAGAGGCCAGATCAGTGGTCGAATCACATGTGGCCAAGGTGGGTCATTTGATGTTTGCACCATCTTGGCCCAAAACACGTGCAGTAAATATATTAATGCAATTGTTGATTGAATACGAGATCTCTATATTATTGTAGATAATTTTACGAAAGCTAATGTTTTGTGATCTATATTGAGCTTTTAATTTATATATTCTGTAGGTGAGTTTAATATAAACAAAAACTTACGAGTGTTTGTTGCTAGCTATCTGCAATAAGGAAAGTAAAAGAAACACTTCCAAGTAAGATGAGTTGTGGAATAGTGAACGATTTTTTTCGCTGTGGTATCTTAACATCACTCATAATTTGCATGATAAATATATTTTACAACAAATTTCAAAATATGAACACATACTGAAAAATAGGTTAAATATACTTTTCCACATCTGACCCACTTTAAATGAATTTCTATCTATACCGGATTATTAAAAAAAAATATGTAATTCATTTTTTATATCTATGCACACCAAATAATTTTATACAGGTTTAGTTTATACAGCATTTTCATGATAGGCCGTTTCCTCAACGCACTGTGTTCGTCGCCCAGGTTTTGACTATCGATTATTTATGCGGACTCAGCAAGAAATTGATAAAACGCTCTGTTGGCTGTTTGCCGTCTTGACCAATTGCCTCTCGCGCCGGGACCGGTTAGCATGCTAATCCCTTAAGGGGTTGGTTTTTTGACACCCCCTTTTAATTGGTCAATTTTTCATTAATTATTGACAAGTATTAATGAAAGTAAACATAATAAATGTTCTGTTATTAAATACAAAGTAAGCATTAAATACACCACATTAATTACCACTTTACTGGTATTTGTACCACTGCACTGATACTCAGATATGACATTGCTACCAGTGCACTGATATCGCTACCAGTGCAGTGGTATATCTACCAGTACAGTGGTACAACGTATCAGTGCAGTGGTATATCTACCAGTACAGTGGTACACCGTATCAGTGCAGTGGTATATTTTTTGGAGGTGGTCGGAGGGAGTCTGCCGATGGGATTTTCACCGGAGAAGTGTGGCGGTCGGAGGAAGTCTGGTGGTCGGAGACTGCTGGAAAAGGAAAAATCAAATATAGTGAGAGAATTTCTAATGTGTATTTAATGTGTATTTAATTCCTAATGTGTATTTAATAGTGAGAGAATTCCTAATTAATATGGTACATTTAATTCCTAATGTGTATTTAATGTGTTTATTAAATTCTATAGTTGTATTTAATATATTAGGGGGTGTCATTTTTCCAATTCCTAAGGGGGTTAGCATGCTATGTGTATATCAATGTCGAGAGAACTTCCAAATTTTGGCTTTGGTGTCGTACAACTGATTTTACTAAAGGAAAGTTCATCCATATCATCGTAGCTATGTCAGCCAATATGCAGGAAGAATACAAGTCCATATGAATATGATGGAGAAAAAGGCTCTGAACCAAAGATTAAACATTAATATATATAAATGTAAAGCTTGGTTACTGTTGTCTAATTATTCACATTCTGATACCCCAAATTTATTTAAATCACAATTTAGTCATCATAATGTACATTTTACATTTTGACACAACAAAATTAATTTTAATGTAAAATCATTGAACAATTATGTTTTGGTATCTAAATTGTATGAGAATTTCTTACCTACAATTTTGTACTTTTATAAATTGATCCAATGTTTAGATTTCACTTGAATCCATAAATTCAATCCACCAATCCTTTTGAACCAATCCATGAATCCAATCCACCATAACATTAAAGTATAAATTTAGTTTGTATCATACAAGATGTTGTATCACTCAACTGTAGTAGAAAATTCGACCATTTTATATTTGCTAATTACGTGAAACATTAAAAAATGATAAAAAGAGACGATTTTAAAATATTGCAAGAGCGAACTTATAAACTCATTTAGTACATTTACGAGGTACTAAATAGTATACTATTTTTATGTATTCCAATCGCAAGTATGTAACGGGTCCATACACGACTGACCAACAGTCTAGAGAATTAATAATTGAAGCATGAACCACTAACTTTTTTAGCTTAATGTCGAGTCCAATTAAAAACGAATATATATGGTTAATACTTATTAGAAATTCATCATTTTTCAGTATGAGATTTGAAGGCATGAAATTTTAAGCGAGTTTCAGTTTGTATTCCTTTTGCTTCGCTCTAGAGGTGTTTTTTCACCCGAGTAGAATTTTCAACAATTATACATATCAAATAAATAGTTTCCTATTTTTATAAAAAAGTAAATAATTATTATCTTAAATACATAACCAAAAAAAGGAATTAAGCATCAACTATGCAAATTACAGTTGGGTACCTAAAACTTAATAGATCCTTATATAACCTAAAATTAATTTTTTGGCATATAAGTCCTCAAAATACTTATGGAACATTACATTGTAGTATCTAAAATTCTGTGTATTACATTTTAGTACATGAACTTGTGAAGTTCTATAAATAGGTCTAATTTTTGTATGTGTAATTAAAACACCCTTTAATAAATGAATATCCATACCAACTCATACGCATTTAGATTATGAAAGTAAATATTCATACCCTACCCAAACCCATCTACAAACTTTCAAACTCATATATACGTCACTCATACCCTACCCATAATCAATGAGTCTACTTGGGTTTAGGTAAATATCATTTATTAGCCAAAATTTTTAAATTAAATGTTGACCTACATATATCTATCCTTAGTCAATATCACATTGTCAAGTCAATATTACTAACAAGACTGCTAACAAAAAATTAATTTTAGGCTAATAATACTAACAAAATACAATAACGGGTCACATAATACATTCCTATAGGCCATCTCTACCCGCGACAAGTCGCGACATTGCCACCTAGTATACTTTAAAACACTTGAAAAAAACCATTTTTTTTCTTTCTCCATCTTAGGCTAAAACATCACTATTTGATGAAATTATGGAAGGTTTTATGATAGAAATTATTAAAATTTATCCAATTTGCAATTATAAGACATTAGGTGTGTTTTTTACATTTTGATACCTCTTTGATAGTTTTTAAATTTTTCAGAGGTTCGGTTCGGGCGGTGAACGTTAGTTTGGTGGACCCTTATTCGGTGACCTCGGTGTTCGAGTATAGAATGTTGTAGGCTGTTTGAGGAGCGAGTGAGGCGTCTGTTCTTGATGCTGGGTGTACTC